TCCACTGGATGACTACCCCACAGTTTGCTTATCCACTGAACAGTTGGTAGATACTACATGGTTCTGTGAATGTTCCTGTAGAGTTCACTTGGTGGACATATGTTTTCATTTCTCTTGAGTAAATTCCGAAGAGTGGAATTTCTGGGTCATAGGGTAAGTGTATGTTTAACTTTATAAGAAACTGCCAGACTGTTTTCCAAAGGGGCTGTACCACTTTACACTCCCACTAGAAATGTAAGGGAGTTGGTTTACTCTACATATTTGCCAACAATTGGTATTTTTGTCTTTAATTTTACCCATTCTAATGGCTGGTATCTCATTGTGATTTTTTTTTTTTTGGTACTGGGGATCGAACTTGGGACCTTGTGCTTGGGAGGCAGGCGCCGGAACCACTGAGCTAAATCCCCAGCCCCTCATTGTGGTGGTTTTAATTTGTATTTCCCTGATGTCTAATGAGGGTAAATATCTTATTTGCTTCTTGGCCCTTAATAAATCTTTTTTTGTGAGGTCTGTTCAAGGTTTATTTTTCTCTTTTTCTTAAACATTGGGAATTATCTTTTAATTATTTTAATTTAGTTATTTATTTTAATAATTATTTAAATTACTGAGTTGTAGGAATATATATCTATTTATTCTGAGCAGAAGTTATTTGTCAGGTGGATGTTTTGTGTTTGTTTTCTCGTAGTGTGATTTTTTTTTTCTTCTTTTAGTGCTGGGGAGTGAATTCTGGGCCTTGGGCATGCTAGGCAAATGCTGTATGGCCATGCCAATCCCAGGCCCTCCTAATGTTATATTTAGTTTTTGGGGTTTTTAAAAATTTTTTATTTTTTTTTGGTACCGGGGATTGAACTCAGGACCTTGCGCTTGCAAAGCAGGCGGCAAAACCACTGAGCTAAATCCCCGGTGCTGGGGGGTTTTTTTGAGACAGTATCTTCCTGGGTAGCCTGTGAGAGCTTCAGATTTGTGATCCTCCTGCTTTAGCCTCCTGAGTGCTGGGATCACAGGCATATGCCACCATGCCTGGCTTTTTATTTTTTATTTTTTAAAATTTTTTTGGTACTGGGGATTGAACTTGGGACCTTGTGCTTGTGAGGCAGGCGGTGGAACCACTGAGCTAAATCCCCAGCCCATGGCTTTTTAAAAAATATTCTTTGTTGGGCCTGGTGGTGCACTCTTGTAATCCTAGCACTCAGGAGGCTGAGTCAGGAGGATTGCTGTGAATTTGAGGCCAGTTTGGACTACATAGTTAGACCCTATCTCAAGAAAAAAAGATAGGGCCGGGGATTTAGCTCAGTACTTTCGACGCCTGCTGCGCAAGCACAGGGACCCAAGTTTGATCTTTTTGTTTTTGGTACCAGGGATCGAATTCAGGTCCCTATAATATATATATTTTTAAATGGTGATTCTTTTTCCCTCCCTGTACTGGGGATTGAACCTAGGGCCTTTGCACTGGGTTGCATCTCTTTTTTTATTTTTTATTTTTTGAGGCAGAGTTTGGGTAAGCCTATGAGTTGCCTGAGTTGTGCTGCAAATTTTAATCCTCCTGCCTCAGCTTCCCAGAGTACTAAGATACCAGCCATTTCTTTGTTTATATTTGTTTGTTTTTTGGTTTTTATTTTGGAACTGGGGATTGAACTCAGGTCCTTGCACTTGCGCAGTAGGCAGCAAAACCACTGAGCTAAATCCCTGGTGCTAAGATAGATAACAGGTGTGCAATACCACATAATAATGTCTTTTGATGAGAAATTTAAAATTTTGATTAAGCCTAGTTTGTCTTTTTTTTTTACTTCTTTTATGGCTATTGCTTTCTGTGATTTTTTTTGTTTTCTGTACTGGGGATTAAACTCATGATATTGTACATGCTAGGCAAGTGCTGTTCCACTGAGCTACAGCCCCCGCTGAGTTTCTGTAATTTAAAAAGTCTTTGTCCTACAGGGTGCGGTGACACATGCCTATAATCTCAGCTACTCAGGCTGACTAGGAGGATCACAAGTTCAAGGACAGCCTGGGCAACTTAGTGAGACCTTGTCTCCAAATAAAATAAAACCAAACCAGGTCTGGGAATGTAGTTCAGTGGCAGAGTGCTTGCCCAACATGCATAAGGCAGTGAGGGATTTAGAGGGCCTGGTTCAGTCCCTGCTACCACCAAGAAAACAAGAAAGGAAGAGAAGTCTTTGTTCTCCTTTAACCACAGAGGTAGCCACAGAGTATTTTCTTCTGGAAGGTTTAGGTTGCTAACTTTTTTTAGGTTGGCATTTCATTACATATTAATTTTTATGTTTTGTGTGAAGTGAGTTTTTTTTTTTCCTGTAAAGATATCCAGTTGTTCCAGCACCATATGATGAAGACTTTCCATCTTGTGTGTTTGTTGAAATATTTATGGGTACAATTTTGGACTTCATTCTAATTCATTGAGCTTTTTATCACTCCTTATCCTGATACTAGATTGTCATGATTACTATAAATGTACAAAATAGGTAGGGTAAGTCTTTCAGGTTTGTTGCTCTTTTTCACCATTATTTTGGCTTTTCTAGATCCTCTGCATTTTTCCTATGTGGCTTTTTTTTTTTTTTTTTTTCACAGCCTCTCTCTGTGTTTTTGACTGGGGCCTGAGGGGTGGTGATCCTCCTGCCTCAGCCTCTCAACTATTTGGGACAATGAAGTTTATTTGAATATTCAGGGTAACTAGTGATTTTTGGTTTTTTTTTTGTTTTTTTTTTTTTTTTGATAGTGGAGATTGAACTCAGGACCTTGTGCTTGAGAGGAAGGCGGAGTAACCACTGAGCTAAATCCCTGTGCCTGTATGTGCATTTTTATGTAAATTTTAGGATGGACATATCAGTTTCTATCAAAAAAAGCAATGAAACTTTGAGTTTCATTTAGGGAGAACTAATATAATTTTTTAAATTTTTGGTGGTACTGGGGATTGAACTCAAGGCCTTTGCACTGAACTACATTCCCAGCCCTTTGGGGTTTTTTTGGCGGTACTGGGGATCGAACTCAGGACCTTGCACTTGCAAGGCAGGAGCAGTGCCACTGAGGGAAACCCTCAGCCCACCCCAGCTCTTTTTAAAATTTTGAGATAGGGGGCCGGGGATTTAGCTCAGTGGTTCCACTGCCTGCCTTGCAAGCCCAAGGTCCTGAGTTCGATCTTCGGCACAAAAAAAAAAATTTTTTTTTTTGAGACAGGATCTTGCTAAGTTGCCAGGCTGTCCTTGAACTTATGATCCTCCTGCCCCAGGCTCCCAGAGTGCTGGGATTACAGGGCTGTGCCACCTTTGTGCTCAGCAGCAGTATTACAACATTTGAAGCCATGGCCCTGGTTGTCATGAACTGTGGAGGGCTGAGGTTTTACTTTCTTTGCTGCTCACAGATGACCTGAAGACTTGGGTTAGAGACTCACAGTGTGAGCTTTATGCTCGATTCAGTCTGCCTACTCTTAGATCCCACAGAGGGGACATGGTGTGCCCCAGGAAGATGCTGCACAGAGAGTGTATGTCAGGGATACAGAAGAACCTTGAGTTTAGGAAACTCCGACATATTTTTTCCGAGCTAGGGTCTCCCTGTGTTGCCCAGGCTGATCTTGAACTCCTCCATCTCACTCTCGGGAGTAGTGGGACCACAGTTGTGTGCCACTGGGCCCAGCTGTGGGAACCCCAGTGTTTTATAATAGGCTGCCAGCAAAGGTGCCTAACCCTTGTCCTGGAGAAACACTTTATCTCAATTATACTGGACAGCAGGCAAACCTGCCCTCTGCTCCTAAGGGAAATATTCTTTCTGTCTTCTAAGGATCTGCTCTACAGACATTCTCGAAAAGAAAATCCAGGATGAGAGCTCTTAGTACTTTATTTGTGAGATGTTCAGAAATTTGGGAGAACCAGTGGAGAATTGTCTCCCAGGAATGGTATACATTTCTATATATGTAGGTCTTTTTAAGCCACTAAGCAAAGTTTGATTTCACAGTATACAGTCGTATTCATCTTTCCTTAATTTTTTTTGATTTTTATTAGTACTCATTTGCAATATGTAATGATTACATTCATCATGGGGAGTTGGTACAAATTATATAACACGTCTTAATTCTTTTTACTTCCCCTTCTCCTCCCTCCCTCCTTCCTCCATCTCTTGATTTTTTCTTCCCAGTTGCAAAAGATCCATCTCCCTGTTTCCTACTATCTTATCTTTTATTTTGCTCATTACATTATTTGTTTTTGTTTTGGATACCGGGGATTGAATTTGGACCTTGCGCTTGTGAGGCAGGCACTGGAACCACTGAGTTAGATCCTCAGGCCCTGCTCATCACATTATTACATTTTGGGTCTCATCTAAGGAGAACCATGAGATACTTAAGCTAAATCCTTTAGTATTTCTTTCTTCTGTATGTTTTGATGCCATTATAAATGTAATTTAAAAATTCTGAGTTTATTTTCCAATCATTTGTTGTTAGCATATAAAAATATATGTGGTTTTTATATTGGCTTTCTATTCTACAGTCTTGCTAACCTTGCTTATCCTAGTAGTTTCTTAAAAATGGCTTATGATTTACTATCATGCTATTAGTGATTAAAGGTAGTTTTACTTCTTCCTTTCTGGTCTTTTTGTTGTTGTTGTTCCACTACTGAGGATTGAACTTGTATCTTTGCACTGAACCATATCTCTAGTTTTTGGGTTTTTTTCATTATTTATTTTGAGACAGGGTCTAAGTTACTAAGTTGTGCAGGCTGGGGTTGAACTTGTGATTCTTCTACCTCAGTTTCTGAGTGCTGGAATTACAGGTGTGCATCACCACACCCAGCACAAAATAGTCATACATTTGCATTGACAACCTCTTGCCAGAGTTCTGTTTTGCGGGAAATATTTATTATAATAATAACAACAAAACATTAAAAGGAGATTTAAAAATGCATCCATAATCCACCATCTCACCTGAGAGATGCCAGCCAGATTCCATCCCTGGTTCTAACATCACAGGGACCCATTGTAAGCCCTGGTCCTTACAGGGAGACGGCTCCGAGGGAAGGCCTTCTATAACGTGGGTGAGAAAGTGTACTGCCAGGAGGACTTCCTGGTGAGTCCAGGCCATGCCATGGGTGGGAGCTGGGGCGGGACCCTCTTGATTCCTTTGGAGACCTGAGGCCAGGATGCAGGAGCTGGCTGGGCAGGGCGTGCCCCTTTGCCACACGATGTCCTGGATCCTGTGTCCCTTCCTAGTACTCCGGGTTCCAGCAGACGGCTGACAAGTGCAGTGTGTGTGGACACCTCATCATGGAGATGGTGAGAATTTCCCCAAATCCCAAAGCCCCTCTGGCTCGAGCAGTCTGAGGACCCCCTTTCACCTGTCGCGGACCTGAGCGGGGATGCTCAGAGCTTGAGCCTCTCTACGGTGCGCTGCTGAGACCCACTCCCACTGACCCTTTAGTGCCTCCCACCCCCAGATCCTGCAGGCTCTGGGCAAGTCCTACCACCCAGGCTGCTTCCGGTGCTCCGTGTGCAATGAGTGCCTGGACGGGGTGCCCTTCACGGTGGATGTGGAGAACAACATCTACTGTGTCCGAGACTACCACACGTGAGTTGATGGTGCTGCGGGACCCACACTGCCTTCCCCAGCTCCCCTGGGAGGGCTTTCTGTCCTGCTCTTGGGCACTCAGAGGTGGGAGCAGGGCATGGATCACCATCTCTCAGGTGGTTCAGCCATCTGGTGCTTCTTCTCCCTATCTTTGCCCTCATGCACCCCTCTTCCTGATAGGGGTCTCTCCTGACTGGCCTACCCACCATCCAGCCCTTTGCTCTGAGAGCCAGGCCTCTTCCACCTGGGCATGGGGGTTTGAGTCACTGCACACCCTTTCCCTTACCTTTCTGGTGACCATGTAGGCTGCTGGTCCATTCTGCTTGCTCTAGGTTCCTATGCTACTGCCTGTCTTGGGATTGGTGTCGGACAGTCCTCAAGGGTCTCGGCAAGTGGTTGGCTAAATCTAGATCTTAAGGGGCAGGGTACTCACAGGAAACATGAGGGAGATGGCAAGACAGAACCTGATGCCATCAGAGGTGGTAGGGGGAAGTGATTTGGGGAGCCAGATGACATGCCACTACTATACCCCTCCTCCCAGGTGTCCAGACAAGGACGGAGGCCTACTGTGGCTGGACCTGTCCTCATACCCTTGGGCTCTGGTCACTCAGCTGGTCACTTCTGGTTTCCCATATTCTTTCAGGGTTTTTGCACCAAAATGTGCCTCCTGTGCCCGTCCTATCCTCCCTGCACAGGTAAGAACCACTCACCTGAAGACAATCAGGTACCTGACCCTGCTGGCTTCTGCCTGCTCCTGTGTGGTCCACCTCACATCCTGGGCCTCAGTGGGAGGGATGAGCAGATGCTCTTGCTCCACATTTCTCAGGGCTGAGGGACGAGCGTTGTACCCAAGCAGGTGCCCCTGGCATGAGTTAGAGGAAAGAGTTGGCCTTGATGCTTGTCCGTCCCACTGCTAGTCTCAGCTCCATTCTCCATGGATAAAAGGCTTCCCCCCGGGTTGTCCAGCTGTGCAGGTGGAGGCTGGGTGGGCTGGGGAGAGGCTGAGGAAGGCCATCCTGGGTCTCCTACATGAGCTGGGCCAGCCTGCTGCCTGGGGAGCAGGCCTGGCAATGGGCAAAGTGCACGCATGTCCATCAGTGTCACCTGCTGCTACCTGGGTGGCCCCAGGGAAGCACCATGTCCATGTTCACACGGGCTGAGTGTATCTCCACCATGACAAGAGCAGCTTGTGTAGATGTGTGCTCTGGTACACAGTTTGCCCGGAGTCCCAGTGTGCTTATTGTGTGTGAATCCTGTCTCTTCCTGCAGGGCTGTGAGACGACCATCCGTGTGGTGTCCATGGACAGAGACTACCACGTGGAGTGTTATCACTGTGAGGTGAGCTGGGCCCTCCACCAGGTTGGCAGCTGGGGGAGTCCCCTCCCACACAGTCCCCTGCCTTGGTGTCCTGTGGTCCACCTCCTCTTTCATGGCCTGTGCACCATCTGTCTTCTCCCAGTGAGCCCCTTCCTTCTCCTCAAGACGTGTTCTCTCTCAGGCCATTTCTCATTCGGTCCACTCCATCTGATGACAGTATGGGGTGCCGTGGTTGAACAGAATGTAGTCCCTACTGTCTTGGGAGAGATGTGTGCTTGGCAGTATGTGGACAAAGTGATTGTTATTGAGGAGAGCTGTCAGAGCACATAGGGGGCCTTAGAAAATCAGGGAAGGCTTTCTGGAAGAGGTGATGCCCAAGCTAGGATTGGAAGAACGAATAAGAGGTAAGAAGGCAGTGATAAGGACCTTTCCAGTCAATGGAAGCAGAACATCCTTAGGTACATAAGGAGTATGTGGTTTTGTGTAGCTGGATAAGTCGGCAGGAGCTGGGGACAAAAGATCACGTGAGCTAATGAGTGTGGACTTCTCCTGAGGGCAATGGAGACAAAAAGACATGGTTTGGATTTTAGAAGACCCTGTTCTGTGCAGAACTGGAGGAATCAGGAGTGGGGATAGGGGGTTCTTAGGGGGCTGGTGGAGCTAGGGGTGTGGTCTCAGGTTCAGGGAGGTAGACTGAGTTGAGTGATCATGGAGCGAGAGAAGGGCCTGGGTTTGGCAGGTGACTGGATGCAGGAATTTGGGGGTCAAGAAGTACCTAACAGGAGCCTAGAAGAGTGAGTGTGTTAGCTTTCTCTCACTGTATCCATACCTGAAGGGATCACCTTATAAAGAGGAAAGGTTTATCCTGGCTGACCGCTTTAGGGGTTTCAGCCCATGACTGGTGGCTCCGTTGCTTTGAGCCTGTGATGCACATCATAGGGGGCGCTCATGGAGGAGCAAAGCTGCTCACCTCCTGGCTGGGACAGAAAAGAGAATGAGGAAGGTGCCAGGGTCTCACAGTCCCCGGTGAGGGCATGGCCCCAGTCACTCAAAACCTCCTAAAGATTCTACTCCCCAGTAACCCCGAGGGTGGGGACCAAGCCTCTGACACATGGTGGATATTCCCAGGGAAGAGCAGGTGTGCCACAGCCTCATTTTGGTAGTGGAGGCATCCACAAGTCCAGGAGGCTGTTAGCAGTGCTGAGGTTCAGATAAAGGAGTTCTGGGATCACTGGCCTATGACCCTCCCTTCTCATACTCTGCCCTGCAGATTCCGGTCTCCTTGGTCTCCCCACATTCTCAACTCCAGACACGGGGTCTTGGGGGCAGCCCAGAGTTGGGGCAGTTGTAAGGCTTGTCTCATTGGTTCCCTTCTCTCAGGAGTCACTGACCTGCCTGCCTTGCTGGGTAGGATCTGAGAATTACTGCTTATATATACCGGTTTTGTTCATGGTTGGAGAGGAACTCCAGTGTCTGTTAACTGCGTTACCGAGGGATGTGGGAGGCCTGTCTTGGGGTAGCAGATGGCAGCCGAAGCCAGGGGAGCAAATGAGGCCTTTCAGGGAGGGTTGGAGAGAAGGGAGTAGGAACTCAGGAAAGCCCCAGGTGGCCAGTATTTAAGGGACCACAAAGGGAAGTGGAGAGGAGTGAGCACGTGGGAGGAAACCCGAAGGAGTGACTTGAGTTCAGAGCCCCAGGGGTGGAGGGGGGGAACTTCAAGTAGGAAGCCTGAGATGCCCTGGTGGAGGCCAGGGGCCCAGTGGGAGCAGAAATCCAGAGCTTGGATGAGGATCAAATGTGCAAAGGGACCACGATGCCCCCTCCAGCAATAACAGGGCCTCAGTGCTCCTCTGCCTGTTCAGCAGTGTCCCCTTGGGGTCATTAAGCACAGGCCTGCAGGCCTTTGCCCACGTTTGAAGCTGAGAATCGGGGTGAGCTGCCCCCTGGCGGGCTGTGAGGGGCATAGGATGCTGCTGTGCCCGGAAGGCTGAGAGTGGGACAGCGCTCGGCTGTCCTGGCCCCGCCTTCTCACTCTGGTGGCTGGGAGTAAGTAGCAGGGCCCTCGCAAGGGGGCGGCGTGTGTGGCTGGACAGGGAGGAGACTTGGAGACCTGGGATGTGAGTGGTTTGAGACCTGAGGTGGTGACTGGAACAGCAGCCTGGCTCCATTACCTGTCAGGGGAGGCAGGAGCTAGTCTTAGGGGCCAAAGCTGCCAGGCATTTTAGTTCCGGCTACCACAAAGGGCACAGAGCCACATCCTTGTTTGTGTTTCCAAATTCTCTGTCTCTTCTCTCCTCCCCTCCTGTCACCCAGGACCTCATGTGTTCTAGGCAAGCATTCTCTTAAGGCCCCTTGTGCCAGGCATTCTGCTACCCATTGATGTACACTCAGAAGTACTTTTGCAGGCAGCAGCTTCCTGCATGCTGACCCCTCTGCACTGCCGTGCTGTCCTCACTTTGCTCTGATGATTGCTGGTATTGGCTTTCCTCACTTGCCTGTTCTCCTTCCATCTCTTTTGCACAAGTCATCCTCTGCCACCTCCCAATGCTGCCTCCAAGGCTGAGCTCTTCTTCCTCTTCCTTGTTCTAGTTACCTGCACTTCCTAGAGAGTAAACCCCTTGTGTTGTTTTTAAAAAAACACCCTAAAGGTGCACATGCCTGTCGTGCCAGCACTGTTGGAGGCTGAGGCAGGAGGACCACTCATTTTAAAAGGCTGGGGATGTGGTGTGTAGGTCCTGGACTCAGTCCCCAGTATCACACACACAAATTCTCATTTGTCATGCTGATGCCCACATTTACTGCCAGCCCTTTCTCCAGACGCCAAACTCGTATCCAGCTATTTCCTCTTGGGTGTTCAAGAGGTTCCCCCAGTGGGTGTGTTCAGCGCTGGGCCACCACAGTCCTCGCTGTGCGGGTGGATCTGGCCCTGCCACAGCAGGCCCCCGCCCCCCCCTCACCCCCCGTCGGAGGAGTCCCCGCCCCTTCTCACCCCGCCCTTCGTTGTGTTCTTCCCTAGGACTGCGGGCTGCAGCTGAGCGGGGAGGACGGTCGCCGCTGCTACCCCCTCGAGGGCCACCTACTGTGCCGCCGCTGCCACCTGCGGCGCCTCGGGCCGGGCCCACTTCCCTCGCCCGCTGTGCGAGTCACTGAGCTCTGAGCAGGGCTGGGTGGGGGCGGGTGTGTGTGGGAGAGGGCCGGGTGGGAGGCCCGGTCCGTGTCGCTGAATTCCACCCCCCTCCTTTGCACACTCCCCACCGAGCTGCTGTCCTGTGCTGTCCGCAGGGGCCGGACCCCCGCGTTGAAGCTACTATTTATTCACCGTCTGTGCCTCCTCAAGCCACCCCCCTCCCCCGCCTTACTGTCCCCACCTGCCCCATCACTGGCTTTGGTTCCAGGACCCTCCGAGCGCGCTCCCCGGGCAGGCTGTGTCCGGAAGGCGGGTTGGTGGAGGGCGAGGTGTCCGCTTCCTAAACGCCCTGCCCGCTGGGCGGTGGGAAGGGTGCCTTGTTTGCGTGGGGCCACAGAGCGGGTGAGGAACGACCCCCTCGGGGAACACTGGGGTTTGGCCACGGGGGGCTTTGAAGGGTGTTTTCAGCCACATTTTCGCGTTCCCTGGCTCCTAGTCTGGGGATTGCCCTTGCTCCCTGCCATCTTCCGCGCCGGGAAAAGCCTGCCTCGGCGCCGAGTTCTAGCGGCAAGGGTCGCCGAGGAGGGACCGCGAGCGGGCGCCCTGCCCGTCTTCCTGGGGAAGCACCTGTGCGCGCGCTGTGTGTATCAGGCTCCACGAGAAAAGAGATGATTTGACTTAAATTAAGTTTTTCCTTTGAGGATATTTTCATTTTCTTTAAAAGAATATAGTTTTCTTCTAAGAGCTTGGACCAAGGTTTTATTTCTTAAAATTACAGCAGATTCACAAACGTCCGATTTGTATATCACGTGGTTGGATTTTAGGTGGTAAGGACATTGTAAGTTTAATTATTTTTGTATAAATTCGTTTAAAATCTCACTCTGTGTCTGCCTTTAGACTTCAGAATAGTGTGAGGTTTCGTGTGTCAGTGTATCCCAGCACACTGGGAGGCTGAGGTAGGAGGATGTGGAGTTAGAGCCCAGCCTGGGCATTTTAGTGACTTAGCGGGACCCTGTCTCAAGATTTAAAAAAAAAAAAAAAAAAGACTCCAGGGACGTCGCTTAGTGCGAAGGCCCTGGGTTCAGTCCTCAATGCAGGGAAATAAGTCCCATGATCACTGGGGGACAGGCTTTGCACTGATTGGTTATGTTAGAATTTTTCTTGGCGGTGGCCCTAGTCATGATAAACTGCAACTGGTTTTCACGGACTATTTCGACTGAAAATTGTTCCTGTGAACCACCTCTTCCTGGCTACTATTCTTGTCCTCTCCTGCGCTTAGAATGGGAATCTCGGCCCGGGATTTAGCTAAGTGGCACCGCGCCTGCCTTGCGAGCATAAGGTCCTGAGTTCAATCCCCAGTACCAAAAAGGGGGAGGGGGTCTCTTTGCTTGTAGAATCATTCTTCTGGTGGGAGTAAGGCGCTGGGAACCAGAACAGATTGGCCATGCCTAAGGGAATGGGCTGAAAGTGGTAGCCAGTTGGTCCAGCTGAGCTGAATCTGCCGGTTGGAGGCCACCTAGTGGTCTGAGGCAGCAAGTACATGGTGATGACTGCAGGGCCTAGGTACTTAACAGCGATGGTAAGCATTGAGATGGGGGACGTCTCCAGAGAAGAGACTTCTAGATCACGGTGGTTTCTTGGACGAAGGGCTCCCAGTGGGGGCGGGAGAATAAATTTCAGGAATGAGAGGCTCAGTGATTTTGGTTCCTTTTGAGCTGGGCTGCTTTGCTTTCTTACCAATTAATTGCAAGGCTTGCAGTCTTCTGATTGCCCCCCTTTTTTTGCTTCCAGTATCATACCTGCTTTGACTATAGTTTCTTCTACTCCTCCCCTCCTCTTTTTCTCTTCCTCCTCCTTTTTTTTTTGTTTTGAGACATGATCTCACTGTATCCCAGGCTGACCTCAAACTTGCAATAGTCCTCCTGCCTCAGCCTCCCGAGTGCTGGGATTACAGGTATGCACCATCACGTCTGGCCAGTAGTTCGTTCTTACTGCATATTTAGTGCTGCTTTTTTCTCTTTGTGTCTGCTGTAGAGGTGACCCCTGTTCATCCAGGCATGGCTGATATCATGGCTCTCACACTTGTTTGATTGCCAGCCTCCTTCCAGTCAACTGGACCGAGGCATCACAGCTTGGAGAACCATACTTCGTCAAAAGTCATGAATGAGTGTCATGAACCTGTGGGATAGTGGCCTCATTTCAGGCCACACTTTGCCCTTTTTTTCCAAGCTCTTGTGGCCCTCTATTGCCTTAAGTCAGGACTAGTGACTATGTTTCCACAGAGCCTTTGCACATGCAGTTCCCTGTGTGTGGGGCCCCCTCACCCTTCAGCAAATCCTTCAGATATCAGAGGCGAGGTCACACACCCAGTTACACTTTGTTGAACACCCAAAGTTTTTGGCCTCTACTCTGCAAGCTCATTTCCCGGAAGCAACATCTTCCTGTCCATGGTTAGGAGTTATGTTGACCTGGTGGCTGTTGGGACTGAGGAAACAGTGTGAGAGCCAAACTCCAAGCCAGAAAGATGACCAGGGCCCTTGAGCCCTGCCAGGCCCTAGGATATCCCTCCTGATGGGGGGTCTAGTGTCACCTCCAGCTGTGCCTGTGGTGAATGTTGTCCTTTTATGTATCTGAGTAACTCCTCTCTTGATGTCCTTCCCACTACGTAGTGAGTTGTCTGGGCCAGGTTTTGTCTCTGTCGCTTACTTAGTACCTGGCACATGGTGCTACAGCCAGAGCTTGACCCTGCTGTGAGCATTAGGGTCCCCCCCTTGATTGCCATGTCCAAGTTCAGTCTGAGCTGTCTGATGAAGGTGCCACAGGTGGGACATAAAGGTGTAAGAGCAAGAGTTACACACTGCACACATACACACCAACGCGCATGTGTGCCACATGGAATATACAAGTGTGCATTTACCTGGAGCCTCAGTTCAGCACGCAGGCCCAGGGCACGGAGCCTTGAGTGCTGAGTCGTGGTGGGAAGAGCATGAGAATGAATCTGAGACCCTGAGGAAGATGTTTGAGAGAAAGGAGGAGAAAGCCAACGAAAGACTGAATATTTTAGAAAGGATGAGCTTGTGAGGGAGAAAGAGGGAGATTGGGAAAGGGATAGAGAGAGACTCATGTATAAGAGGAGTGGAGCCCTGCAGTTGGGGCTCAGCAGAGCATGTCCCTTGCATGTGTGCGGCCCAGGGTTTGAGCTCAACACTGCAAAAAAAAAAAAAGTGGGATTTTTGAGAGAATGTTGGGGAGAAAGATACTGAGGGGCAGTCAAAAAACTCCTGAGGAGTGAGGCCAGCAGAGCCTGGGGTTTCCCCACTCTTCCTGCAAGCTGGTGCTCCAGAGCCGGATGGTGGGAAGTACCTGGATCAGTTCTATCTGCACAGCTGCACAGAGGCCTGGCCCCAAAATGGGAAGGCCCTCCTGTGAGTGACTAGAGGCCGCGGGCATGTGTGTGTGCGTGTGACAGCTGTGCCACCAGGGTGGGCACCTGGCATAGGTGTCCTCACAGTCCCAGGGTGGGAGGGGGTAGTGCTGACCTGGTCACCCACTTCCTGCCCCTCTCTGAATGGTAAGTAAACTGTTCCTCATGTGGGCTTGCTGTGGAGGGCCAAGGAGGGACTGTGCAGTTGGGAAAGGGTTTATGGGATCTGAGAGGGCCTGGGTGCAAAAATCCGCAGCAGCAGAGGCCGATAACAGTGTGAGCTCTGGAGGGAGTGAGCGGGGTCACCTGCCCCCTAGTGGCCTGGCCGTCGGGGCGAGTAGGGAATGTGCTGGGCTGTGTTCACCCAGCCACACCTGGAGGTTGGTGTCCGGCTCTCCAGGCGCCCAGTGAGCCATTGTCAAAAAGTTGCTTTTTCTCACCAGCAACTGGACCGTGTCTCAGATGGCAGCTCCTAGCCAGCCAGGAGGCAGGCAGAGACTTATGGTGCCCATTGGGGAAGGGAGCCTCGGGACTCTGGGAGACTTGGGAGCTGAGTACACACCCAGGAGTGGGGGAACACTGAGGTGTCTTAGGTGACCTTGGACTCCGTGCAGCTCTGGAGGACCTGCCTCAGTGGCGTGTGGACCCGAGGTCTGCGGGCCCCCCACAGGGTGCTGTGGGGCCCTGGCTGGCATCTCCTCCTGTGTGTGCACATGCTGTGGGAGACTGAGGGACTGCTCAGAGAAGTCCTGGGTCGGGGGTGCAAAGGTGGGGAGGGCTGTCGAGGCTCACCGGTCTTGGCACCAGACACTTGCCCAGTCCTGGTTCCTGGAGACAGAGACCCAGGGGATGTCCGGGTCCTGGAGAACGTGGGAGTACAGCGGAGCAGGCACAGGTGGGTGCCTCCTCCTCCCATCATCTTCTCTGGCCTGAGGGCACTCCTGGGCTGTCTGCCCCAGACCTGGCCCGGTCAGCCAGCTCACTCCCTTCTGTGCCACAGCTTCTGAGCTATCAGCCTTTCTGTTGTCAATCTTTTGAGTACTGAGGGTAGCTTGAGGCCAGGCAGGCATATCACCAGAACTGATGCTTGTCTAGCTTCGTCAGTCTCCAGTTGTTGGGCGCCTCCACCTTCTACCTGAGCTTATGGTGTAGATGAGTATTTCCAGGCATCTTTTTTTTGTACCGGGGATCGAACTCCGGTCCTTGTGCTTGCGCAGCAGGCGGTGAAACTACTGAGCTAAATCCCCGGCCCTTAGTTTGTCTTCTTCTTTTTTTTTTTTTTGGTACCAGGGATCAAACTCGGGTCCTTGCACTTGCGAGGCAGGTGGCCGAACCACTGAACTAAATCCCCGGCCCTTCCAGGAATCTTCATCTGCCTGCTCCACAGCCTGGTGTTGCTGCACTGCTGAGCGCAGTGGATCTCAGCCAGGATTTGTCTTTGTGGCCGGAGTGGAGCATTGAGTCTCAGCCTATCCCTGACAACCCCTTCCCATCACTCAGCTCAGCTCAGATCCCTCCTCCCACCTCCGACAACTGTGTACTGCGACTCTGTGAACTAGGGAACCGCTCCCTCTGACGTGGGAGATATGAGGGGACCTCATGGCAGACAGCCTGGCACAGAGCTGAGGGGAGGAGGGGACAGCGGGCCTGTGCCGTTGTGCTTGGGCCAGGGAGCTGTTGCTGACCTGGGTATTGGGGATCAAGAGTGGGGGAGAGGTCACGGACCCTAAGGAAAAACCCCAGGAACTTTGGGTGGGGATGGTGCGGGAGAGCCCCACTGCTAGGCCAGTGAGGAAGGATGGCAGTGACCTGGGGTTTGGATAGCTTCTCTCCCCACCTGTCTTTCCTCCTGCTCTCTTCCTCTTCCCCTTCTTCTCTTCCCTCTGCTCTTTCCCTGTTCATCCCCTGCCCCCCTCCTCCTCCTCTTGTGGTACTGAGGATTGAACCCACAGTCTTCATACTGAGCTGCATCTCCAGGCCCTTTTCTGTTTTAAGACAGGGTCTTGCTAAGTAATCCAGGCAGAACTCACAGTTGCAATTCTCCTGCCTCAGGCTCCTAGAGTGCTGGGATTACAGGTCGTCCCCCCCCCCTTCCGGTGCCTGGGTTCCTTCCTCATAAAAAGACTTTATACTTGGTCTTATTAGGAAGAAGAAGAACTCTTGGCTTTTGGACTGAGTAGCTGAGTGGCTGCATCACTAGAACCCTGGAGGAAAAAGTGCAGGAGGAACAAGCTTATGTGGGAGTGTGAACCCTACATTCTGTTTTGCCACACCTGACACATGGAGTAGGCAGTGAGATGTGGTGGTTTGGAGCTCAGAGGAGAATCCAGGGCTGAGGTACACAACTTGGAGCCATCAGTATATAGAGTTATTTGAAGTCATGGGTGGGATCCCATGGAAAGAGGGTGAGACTGGAGGGGAGGTGCTACAACATTGGCACCTCAGAGGGCAAAGG